CCGTAGTTATGTCTGGATACATACTCACTTATCAGGGTTTGGTTCTAGGATCCACATATGAGGGAGAACATATGTCGACTTTTTTTTTCTGAGTCTGTGTTACTTTACTTAGTATAACAGTTTCTAGTTTGATCCATTTACCTGCAAATTTCATCTTTCTTTATTGCTGAGTAAAACTCCACCGAATAAATGAACCACATTTTCATTATGCACTCGTCAATTGAGGGACACTTAGGTTGTTTCCATCTCTTAGCTGTTGTGAAAAGAGCAGCAACAAATACGGATGTACAAGTGTCTCTGCAATCGTATGAGTTCATTGAGTATATGCCAAGGAATGGTATAACGGGTCAAATGTTTGGTTCATTTGAAGTTTCTTAAGAGTTCTCCACACTGCTTTCCATAGGGGTTGAACAAGTTTGCAGCTCCACCAGCAGTGGATGAATGGTCCCCTTTCCCCACATCCTCTTCAACATTTGGTATCATTTGTTGTCTTGATCTTAGCCAGTCTGACTGGGGTAAGATGAAATCTTGAAGTAGTTTTAATTTGCATTTCCCTAATTGCTAGTGATGTTGAACACCTTTTAAGATGCTTTTTAGTCATCTTTAATTCTTCTTTTGCGAACCTTCTGTTCATCTCCTTAGCCCGTCTTTTGATTGGGTTACTTCCTTTCTTGATTTTCTGTTTTTTGAGGTCGTTATATATTCTGGATGTTGAACCTTTGTCAGATGTTTTGCTGGTGAAGATTTTCTCCCATTCTGTGGGTTTTCTCTTCAGCAGCTTCCTTTGTTGCTTCTTTTGATGTACAGAAGATTTTTAGTTAAATATGATCCCATTTGTTGATTCTTGACCTTGTTTCCTGAGCAATTGGTGTCTGGTTTAGAAAATCCTTTCCTACACCCATATTGTAGGTTATTGTCAATGTCTCCAATGTCTCCTTCTAACAGTTTCAGAGTTTCAGGCTTCACGTTGAGGTCTTAGATCCATTTGGAGGTGACATTTGTGCAAGGTGAAAGATAGGGGTTTAGTTTCATTCTTCTACAGGTGGAGATCTGGTTTTGCCAGCACCATTTGTTGAACATGCTGTCTTTCCTCTAGTGAATGTTCTTGGCCCCTTTGTCAAATATCAGGTGACTGAAATTGCATGTACTCATATTTGGGTCTTCAATTTTGTTCCATTGATCTATGAGTCTATTTTTGTGCCAGTGCCATGTTCTTTTTATGACTATAGCTGTGTAATAGAGTTTAAAATCTGGTGTAGAATCCACCCAGCATTGCTCTTAGTGCTCAGGGTCGCTTTGGCTATCCGAGGTCTTTTGTGCTTCCATATTAATCTTAGGATTTTTTTTTCTAATTCTGTGAGGAGTGTCATGGGGATTTTGATTAGCATTGCATTGAGTCTATAAATGGCTTTTGGTAAGATGGTCATTTTCACTATATTAATTCTTCCAATCCATTATCATGGGAGGGCCTTCCATCTTCTGACGTTTTCTTCAATCTCTTTCTTTAAAGATTTAAAATTTTCATTGTAGAGCTCTTTAATATCTTTGGTCAGTTTTATTCCACGATCTTTTTTGCAGCTATTGTAAGGGGAGTGTTTCCATATACTCTTTCTCTGATTGTTTGTTATTGGTATGTAGAAAGGCTACAGACTTTTGTAAATTAATTTTGTAACTTGCCACTTTGCTGAATGTGTTAATATTTTCTAGTTTTCTGGTGGAATTTTTGGCATTTCTTAGATATAATATTGTATCATCTGCAAAAAGGCCTAATTTGATCTCATCTTTTCCAATTATTACTCCTTTAATTTCCTTCTCTTTTCGTATTGCTCTTGAAAGAGTTTCAAGCACTGTGTTAAAGAGGAGTGGAGATAGTGCCTTGTCTGATTCCTGATTTCAATGGGAATGCTTCTAGTTTTTCTCCATTTAAGATGATGTTGGCGGTGGGTTTGTTGTATACAGATTTGATTATGTTGAGGTATGTTCTCTCCAGTCCAATTCCTTCTAGGACTTTGAACATAATTGCATGTTGAATTTTGTCAAAGGCCTTCTCTGCATCTATTGAGATGACCATGTGGTTCTTGTCTTTGAGCCCGTTTATATGATTTATGACGTTTATTGACTTAGGTATTTTGAACCATCCCTGCTCTTTGGGATAAAGCCGACTTGATCATGGTGGATGATCTTTTTGATGTGTGTCTGTACGCACTTCGCAAATATCTTGTTGAGAATTTTTGCATCTATGTTCATTAAGGATATGGG